AGCACTACAATATCAAAGAAAATGCCTTGATTTTTTTTTGAGCAGCTACTGCGCATTCCCATGGATAAGTTTCTCAGAACCTATGAGAATAGGCAAAAAGACATCTGAAAACGCAATCTGGTCTAATACGGAAAGCCATAGAACTGAAGAAAGAACTACAAATCGATGACAAATCAAAAAGCCTCTCTCTCCCCATGACCCCATTAGCAGACACTGGTGTAGTGTGCTGCACCCAACTACTCGACTTCATCAGGAAATCAAACACACCTCCAGAGCAAATGCGCTCATTGGCCCTTGAGACAATCAATGTCAACTATGGGTCACATAGAAAACCAAGGAAATGTTGGTGCAGGTGTCTATTCTGAACTCTTCTCATTCTACGCAACAGCTGGACAAAATAGGACTTCTTTTGAAGGAGAAATAGAGGCCATTAGGACAACACTGTGCCAATTATTTTGCCTGGATATGAAATTCACCAAAGCGGTGATACTTTCGGACTCACAGTCAGCAATAAACTCAATTGAAAATAGAGAGACACACAAAACAGCTGAGATAAAGGAATGTAGAAAAATCTATGAGCTGCTGAGAGAGAAAAACAAAACATTGGTCCTAAAATGGATTCCTGGTCACTGTGGGATTAAAGGCAATGAGCTTGCTGACACACTTGCTGAGAAGGGGACAACGATTTTGCAGTGCATGGACAGGCCGATGTCTTTTCACACAATGAAGGCCTTAATCAGAAGGGAATTCAAGACCTCAAGGTGCAACGAACTTAAAACTCGAACAAAGGAGAAACAGTGGATAGTGGCACTCTCCGACATACCCGACTGGCCAAGAATTGAAGCCGTTGCTGAGTTTAGACTAGGTACCGGACACGATTGCTTAGCAAAACACCTTCACAGATTGGGAATATACACTCAATTCACATGCCCACTATGTAACCTACAGAGTATACACTCAATTCACATGCCCACTATGTAACCTACAGAAGGAAATGGAGAGGACCCACCTGATTCGGTGTCCAGCCCTAAAGTCAACGGCAGAAAGCCAAAAATACTGGAAAGCAAGAAGACAGCTAATGATTGGCTATTATTTAACTGTTTTATATGTGCCGCCACCGACACCCTTGGGGGAAGCTGAAGTCAACGCTTAAGGGCTAATGATATATATCATAAAGCCTGCCATTTGAAATAAATAAATAAACATTTATTAATTTTATTGTGGAAAAAATTATCTATTCCTCCGTTGCGTCAAGTTGATTCTTATATATTTTCTACTTCCTCCCATTATTCATATCATGTTTTTAAAAGCCGTGATTTAACTAGTGTAATTGTAACAGAGGAGCAAAATAATCCAAAAGAACGTTGGAAAGCATACAAAATGTGGCAAATAAAAGGTTTAAGCAACATCCCCAAGCAAAATGCTCCAAAGATTGTTCTCATACCAAATAGCATAGTTTCACGTTCCATCAACTCAGATGATGGTAAAGGGAGGAGACATTTGTGCAGAGCTTTACAGCAACAAGTCTATTAATCAGTCAAATAGCAACCAAAGTCCAATTCGGCAACGTCTTTGGAAGAGTTCTATTCATCTGCCACCAAAAGTATTGGATTATACATTAAGACTTTTGTTGGTTCACATACTGGCGTTGAAGCATTAGGACAGAGAGTTGTACAAAAAGCTAATTATAAAGTATGATTTTGTATAGGTAAATACGTAGCATTTCAAATCGCTGAATTGCTCTTCCATGGATAACTGTAACCAGCCTCTGAAATGAAATTGGGATAATTTGACAGACATCCTTGTTTAGTACATATCGGATTAAATTTAGGCGCTGTTTATTGCTCTTATATTAATAAATTATTTCATTATTTGTTAAGGAAAACATTAAAAAAATTATAAAGAGCTTTGTTTAGGTGAATAAAATAGAGCGTGTGCCAATTATTTAGTAATTATAACCAAAAAGGTTTCCTCGGGAACCTATGAATGACTATTAAATTAACTAAAATCGTTTTTTATCTTCTGCCATTTTTGATATTTAATGGTCTGGGAATTTCCATTTATGCTTATTATTTTTGTGGTTATATGATCAATATTTATGAACTTGAATGCAAAGATTTTTGCCTATTTCTTAATGTTACCGAGTTGGAACTAATGGAACACGTCACCAATAGGCGATGTAAAGAACTTCCATATAAAGCGATATTGAATGTCTGCGCAAAGGGATCCATTCGACTTCAGAAATGGACACAAATCTGCGAAATCTACCTTGAAGCTCCTATCATGGACGTACCCTCTATTGCCCATTTATACATTCCAATTATTAGTTGCGCCGCTATACTCGAAATCTCTTCAAAATGCCGGAATTTTGCGTTGCTTTTAAATTTTTAGAATGTAAATAATTCTCTCGTCTGTAGATAATATTGTATTTGTCTTTGTGACCAATTTTTATTATTATGTCAATTTAATTTTACAAAAGTCACAAAATTGTTAACTATTAGATGCAATCTGTAAATAATATATTTCAGAGAGCTTTGGATCTTCTTTGGTTTCTCGATTGTATAATAAGAAATGATTAAGGAAGCATACTATGGTCCTATAGAATTTATTATGACTTAATCAGTCCGAAGACATATTTTGGTGGGAATATTTTTATTACAGGCTGTTATACTGCTAACAAATACCAACATCTTAATAAGTTTACTACTTATTAAAGCTCTCAGCTCACTTAATCACATGTCATCTAACTTTTAATATATGTCGAAGGAAGGTAAAATGAAATTATCTTTAGGTCACTTAAAGTTCGAACTTGAGGACATGAATGACTGTCGACACTCTGCTGAAGATTATTTTGATTCATTATAATGGATATTGGAAAAATAAAGTAAATGAAATTGAAAAATGGGAAAAGGCTAATCAAAACTGAATTTTATTGACTAATCGAAATAGTGGGTCAAAACAAGTTTTGTGCTCTAATATCCAGGAAATGGAAAGGATACATTATAAATGTTTCACATTTCGAATTATTGTCTAGATGATCGACATATAAACATGGAATCAAGAATTCAATTTGAATATCAGTTTTGCAAAACGAACTGAGCTTCAATTTTATATTTAAAGTAGACCACATCTAAAATAATGCGATTTCTTTACTGAAGAACTTGGTTGCGGTAATTAATTTTGTCAGATTTGAGATCATTAGAAGTAATCAATTTGTATGCTCTAGAATGTGAATTCTGAAACATTTTGCCCATCTCTCTCTCTCTGATAATTTGAATGAATGCTTATATTGGTCTATTGTTTGAATTAAATGGAGCCACCTTTGATATTCCGATTTATCAGATGGCACTGTAAAGTGGAACATACATCTTTATGAATGACAGATAAATATGTATATGCACCCATATGTAATAGATCACATATTAGAATATACAATCATGCGGAACCTTTCCACATGTTCAGTAAAAACAATTTCTTAAGAATTAAATTCTTGTGTATGCATAATTTGAATTCTGTATATTTAAGGTCAACTTCCATTTCAAAGCGCTTAACGACTTTTTGTTGTCCTCAGATGATTTTTTGACAAAAAGAAGTTTTGATATATTGACACGTAGTTATTATTAAGAATATCTTACATTAAAAAAAACGTAAACTAAGTTTAATGCATGGTTCAACATGAAATGGATATATATTGATTATGCCAATTAAACTAATAATATGCCCACTTATAAACAATCTGTTCTGTTAGTTAAGGATAATTTTAAAATAAAATCGAAATCTAACTAGAGAACTATTGATGAAATTGAATTCATTAAAATGAAATCATGCATCAATTGTAACAGGGCTCAATCCTTCCAAAAGATTGCAAACGGAAACGACACTCGATAGTAAAATTTTATTACAAATTTCCGAAAGATCAATTTTACTACTAGCCAGAATTAAATAGTAAATCTAAACATTTGTAGCCTTTAGCTATTAGCACTTATACTTCTGCTTATCTAGCGTGGGTTGTCAAATTTAAATTGACAATTGGGGACACATTTGCCAAAAGGGATATAATCAGTTCCATAGAGACACTATTAATCGAATCTTGTAACTTTTTAATAGAGTGATATTTAGGTGACCTTAGTCAATTGAAATAACTTGCTCAAATTATTCGTTATTTTAATGCGCTGTATGTTTCATAATTCGCCAACCTGCAATCAATCCCAGATAAACGCTTGAATCACGGAATTTTAAGCATAAATTTTTACACATCGTTTAGCATTTAATTTTGAAATTATTGTCATGATATAGATTGATCCAAGCGGACAGAATATCTTGTTATCATAAGAGATCACGTTGTTCCAAATACCTAGTCTTGACTCAATATATTTTAAATTATGCTCCATTTTGTTGTATAAGTTTGTTTTACTGACTGGAAAAAAGATAGACGTGCTTTGTTAAAACGCTCAGCATTTCAATAAAGCTCGGAAATTAAAAACACTCCAGGATAAATTTATTTAACATTTATTGAATCCGTAGCACTGCTTATTCTACAAATCAAACGCTTATGGAAAATAAAATATGTTGACAATTACCA